AGGATTCCAGCTGACTTCCAGAAGAAAATATACAGCAAGTCTAACATCGTAATATAAAACTGAAAACTTATTTCAGAGAAAGATTATTTAAATATATATATATAGATAGTAGTTTTGAGTTATGTTCTTTAGGCAATTATTCCAGAATAAGATTTGTTTGTTTATTCCTATTTTCCAGAAGAAAAACAAAACCAAAACCAAACCCAACAACAAAACAAAACAAAAAAAAAGTCACCGTGAAATAGTTCTCTTTCTTCCCTTTCTTCAAAGCTCTGGGGTAGGCAAGTCCTTGATTTCAAGGGAAAAAATAAAAAGAACTACCCAAAAGATCAGGCATAACCAGGTGTTATACTGCATGAGACTAAGTCGCACATAGATATTAGCAACAATTTAAAAACATGAATGAATTTTAAGTTTAGCAAGAACTAGATTTTCTGTTTATTCAATACAATGATTTCCCAGCCCCACAAATTTAGATTTCTATAAATTACTGTTTTAAAAAATTAAGTAACACACTAACATTTGCAAAACAAATGTTTCTTCTGAATTATATAGGAAATAGTTTACAACAGCATACGGAACAGAAATGGATTTAAGAAGTCAGTAGAGAAAAAGAGATCAGAACACTTTTTTGATTTTAAAGTCCAGTAATTTAAGTTTAATGGGAAGTAGAAAAACACCTAGAACAAGTAGTAGTACCTGACAAGTTGGTTGGGTTTTTTATAGCATGCATTCTCTCCTCCCTATTTTCAGTTCTACCTGCCAAAATGTATCCTCTCATATAGCATATGTCTGATTTCTGGTTAAATTGTAACTTTGAGTACATTGTTGCTACAGAGTAAATTCTGTGTTTGCACCTCAGTTAAGGCTTTTTCAACAGTTTACACACCATGTCTGATGCAGACCAATGAAGACATCTGAAGACTCTCCTACTGGTTCTTAAATAGTGACACAAAAAAATGGATAACTTTTACCAATTTCTTTTGTTGTCACACAATTATCCCCAAAGCATTTTAAGAAGGATAATGAAGCTGAAGTATTGCTCGGATGTAGTGAAAACCTCCCTTTAACTTGTACTTTTAAAATACTGCTCATTTAATCAACATTGATTTCCCATCTGTACCTTCTGACCTACCTTTCCCAGGACATTTTCTTCCCACCACATGAGAGACTTGAAAGCAAAAATACATTCCCTTGTTAATTGGGAAGAGCCTATACAATGTTCTGTGATTCCAAAGTAACTATAGCAAGAGAAAAAGATCTCGACACACACGCTATGCCCTTGCTTTCATCCATGATCAAGAACTCATCTTAAAACCTGTCTTCTTTGACAAGACCACAGACTTGCCAATACAATACCTTTCAGCCTCATGAAATGTGACTGAGCAACAAGAAAACTCTGAAGAAAAAAATTATAGAACAGTTCTGAAGACAAAATCTGTGTTTCTATTAAATACACATTGAGTTTTTTGTTTGTTTGGGTTTTTTTTTTTAAAAAAAGGGCCATTTGAAAACACTGAATTCAAACACAATCAGATTATGAGACTAAATATTTCAATTATTTTAAAGTAAAAGACTTTTTGTAGTCCCAGTTAGTTTCTTTTTACAGTGTAAAGTAACGTGGGATGGAGGAAGGCAGCTTTTTGTAATGGTATACTATTAAGCCCATACTTGTGTTGTTTTTCAACATGACTACTTCCACAATATCTTCTTTATGCTGCAGATGTTTCCTTCCTAGTAATAGTTGAAGATAAGTATTTGTTTGTCTTGAAGCACTGGAAAATGTCTTTCCCGAGGGGGCAAAATGCCACCATAACACATAGAATTTAACATCTGAGCAAGAAGTCTGCATAAGTATTGAAGTACTTCAACCTGGATCTCTGAAAGAAAAACAAACAAACAAACAGACAAACAACAACAAAACAACAAAACCACAAACAACAACAAAAAAATGACAACAAAACAAAACTGAAAGCCACAAACAAAAAACAACTCTGCCAACATACAGCTTCTAAATCTATGGCTCTTCAACCTGAGGAAGAGCTACAAATTTACTAGTTGTATTCCACACTACAGCAATTCATTCAAATGTTAACTATTACTAGGCCAAACAAAGGTTTAATTAAAACCATTTCCTAATTTTACTGAGAGGAAGAAATGGGAAGCAATTCCAATGCTTACATTGTGTCTGTTATAGCTTGAGCCAAGACGACAAGCACAGCTGCAGAGAGAGGTTGGTTTTATTCTAGCTATATCTGCAACAGACTGGGACTAGATAACTGGTGGCATCATTTAGTTTCAAGGTTCTCCCCACCTATTTGTACAATTACCTTTGTTATAGGTAGATTAAGGCAAATCACATCCAAATATGGATTAATGAATCTTTATTAAGGTAAGAGAGCAAATGCAGCACTGGGGTGGCCGAGGAGTCACAGCTCCGTCCAGGCTCACCAAATTGTTTAAGTTTCAAACCCCCTTTTATCTACACAGCTGCGGGTTTCAACACCTTCAGCACGCCTCCTGGATCCTTCTACAATCTTATCTTCTTTCTTCAGTCCTGTGGTAACATACACCTTGTCCTTCAAGTCTGGGCCAATTTGCAGCTCCTTTGTCTTTTATGGCTCAGTGGTTTCAGTTCCTCTCTTATCTCAAGGACAAGGGATACCAGAGATGGCCCATTCTGTTCTTTCTCAATCCATTGCAAAAGAGTTACCACCCTTTGATATGGATCATCTGGTGAGCATCCCAAGAGGGGGGGCTGTTGGGTTGGTGTTTCCTCAGATCAATTCCCCCCTTTTCTTTTCCCTGTAGTAGTCTCTTGCTTTTCTTAAAATTTGGATCACTGTACTAATAATAGCTTTAGCCTAAGAAGTAATTGTTTAATTACTTTTAGCGAAAGCAAAATTCTTCTATTACTTATCACACCTTCCAGAAACTTAAAGCACCAAAGAAAACATGATGTATTGCAGAATATAAAGGCACATGCAATTAATAATGGTACATTAAACATTTTGTAAGCATAAATCTATGATTATTATTATTGCAGAAGATGTCTGAGCTGTCTTTCCCTAGAAATACTCTATGCTTAAGTCCATTTCAAGAGTATTTTTCTGAAAACTGCCTCAAAGAACCACATATTCCATAGTTTATGCTAGGCTAACTTGATGAACCCACAGCTCTACTTTGTGTTGTGCCCAAGAGCACAGGTGAAATCTCTGCTTGCTTCTTTGTTGCTGTAAACTATATGCAGTCATAATTGTAGTCATTGAACTTTGTAATGAAACCATGAGGCTCCTCTAATCATTTATGAAACAGCACAACAAGATTTCTTTTAAATTAAACTTTAATATTTCTATTAACAGGGACCTGCTCTAAAGGCTTATAGATATTAGTGATTAATTTCGCAACAAGCTGCTCACAGTAGTTTTCTTCAAACCAATTCAGAGAGATCCTTTCCCTCCTACTGTGTAGTAATGGGATCTATACACTTTTTAGAGTGTCTGAAAATAATTTTTCTCACTGAAGCAGATTAGCAATACCTCTTCTTAATGATAGCTGGAAACTTTATCATTAAGAGATTAAGGTATACTCAATTTAGCTCCCAGGTTTCAGCTCAGTTAAATCACTGTAGAGGAACAGGAATGACGTGCGGAAAACAGACTCCACAATCTGATAGATTGTAAAGTAGGTATGTTTATTCAGCGCTGGGCACACAGGGGATAGCTCCTCCTATTGTGCGCGCCGATATGGCACCGTTATCTTACATTTATAGAGCAAATGATTACATATTCATAATATTTCGCAACACGCCTATACATATGCATTACCTGTCCCCGCTTCGTATTATAATTAGCATTTCCATAATCTCCTCCCAATTGAGTCTGCGCAGTGTCTTCTGGTGGTGGTCGTGGGGGTCTTTGGGGATGAAGTCAAGCTCCTCTTCCTCCTGTCCACTCTGTGACCCCAGGCTTCGCGCAGACTCAGTCTCTTACTGGCTGCTGTCCAAACCGTAGGTCTAGTCCCAACCGGCTTTGTACTGATAAAGCCTAACGACTCCATGCCTCAGCTCATCATGTTTTACAAACTATCTACTCATTAGGCAAAACTGTTATCTCAACTATTTCCCTTGTCATCCCCTTCTTGCTATTCCCATATTAACACTTACATCCCCTGTTCCTATCTAGGCCCTGTATCAATCCCCCCTTTTCTTATCATACTAAGTAAATTCTTTTACTTCAACAATTTTCCCGAATAATATAAAGCCTCATGCATAGCAGTTATCCTTTTAAACATTCTCCAGACCCATAAATATAACATGATGGTTAGTACTAATAAAATTCCTAAACTACCTAGTAGGATCACAATGGGGTGTATCATAGTGTTAAGAATCCCTGTTGCAGAAGGCGACCAGCCGAAAAGAGTATCCCACCAGTTATGACTTGCATCTTGTTTTGCTCTTTGCAAAACCCTGTTTATTTCTTTTGTATTATGGTGAACAGTGACTAAAGTTTTCTCTCCGTTTCTCTGAATTTCTCTCAAGATCCCTAACAGATCTTGGTGTTTAATCAATTGCCTTACTAATGTAAGGTTCCTTCCAATAAGTGTAGGTGATAACTCGAGATACCCTGTGATTTTAGATTTTATCAGCTGGTGGGAAACCACTGGTGCCCAATATACAAAGTCACACCCAATGATTTTAACAAAGTTACAAATACAGAAATTAGAATGATTCCCAATGGGCAAAGTTACATTGTCATGATCTATCTCTACAAATACACAAGTGGTTCTTAAACATATACAGCCTTGACCAGTATATACAATCACCGGTTTTTTTTTACTATTATCTGGGTGAATTTCAAAGTGGCAGATACTTTGCTCAGTGTCAAGGCATACGTCTTGGGCATCAATTGTATTACTTTCACAAATGAACCCCTGTTGTTCTTGGGTAATACAAGATTCCACATTTACAGTCTGCCATTTCTCATTCACCTTCTGGGCCCATGCTCTATGTTCTGAAGGATAGAGCACTGTGTCCTCATGATTCAATCCTAATGCAATGATGGGGTGGATTACATAAACTGTGGCATTATGTATAGTGAGTACAAAGGCAGTAGCTATGTTAGTAGTGGGGTCATAAGTAAAATTCACCATAGTCCACCAAGATTGGAATCTCCTTTCAAAATTGGTGGCTTTGTCCCAAACAGCCTTTGTTTTCCTGCCCAGTAAGTAGAGCTATTAAATGCTCTGCATCTGAATTTTAATTTCTTGTCCCAATGTTCCCTGCAATTGTGGTTCTCCTGGATAGGCATCCCATTCTTCTTTTGTGGGCACAATTGTCTCCTGCATAACTATAGTAGCCAACGTGTGGTTGCTCACATTTCTAGTCTTATTAGTATGCCCAATGTAAGCCTGGGACCATGGCCATTCACTGAACCTTCGACTATGCATTAGAGGAAAAATGATTATCAGACTTATTGTGAGAAGCGTAATCTTCCTGGCCGAACTTGGGTAACTTTCCATGGGGATTTATGGGCTTTCTTTACTCGGGTGTGATGTATCCAGGACGAGTATTCCCTAATCTTGATGGCTGTAAACGTCGTGAGCAGCACCTGGAATGGCCCTTCCCACTGTGGCTCCAAGGTTTTCTCTGTAAGAGACTTAACATACACATAGTCCCCAGGTTGTACATCATGTACAGGTCCATCCAGCCCTCTACCTCGAGTACCAATTACATGTTTTCTGATCTTATTGAGTTGCTTCCCTAACGCCATCATGTAGGAGCTCATGATTTCATCTCCAATTTGTGTGGATATTCCTTTTTGTACCCCGTATGGTTGTCCATATAAAATTTCAAAGGGGCTTAGCCCTTCCCTTGCCCTTGGCCTTGTCCGTATGCGTAAAAGGGCCAAGGGCAAGGACTGAGGCCATGTCAGGTTTGCTTCTTGCCCCAATTTTACAATTTGCTGTTTGATTAAGTGGTTCATCTTTTCCACTTGACCGCTCAACTGAGGGCGGTACGGGGTATGAAGCTGCCAATCTATACCCAAATGGTGGCTAATTTGTTGTACTACTTTTGAGACAAAGTGTGGTCCTCTATCTGAGGATATGATTGCCGGAACCCCAAATCGTGGTATTATTTCTTGTATCAGTACTTTAGTTACTTCCCAAGCCTTAGCTGTTCTAGTAGGGAATGCTTCTGGCCAGCCTGAAAAGGTATCAGTCAGTACCAACAAATATCGATACCCCCCTTTTCTTGGTAATTCCGTAAAATCTACTTGCCATTGTTGCCCAGGCCCGTTGCCCTTCCCAATCTGACCCATTTCTAGTTTGGGGGCGTTTTTGGGATTAGTCCGGAGGCAGATGTTGCATTGTCGAGTCACCTGCCTTACCGTGGTATACAAATTTCTGGCTACAATCTCTTTTATCAAATGACTACAAAGCTTCTGCTCCCCAGTGTCTCTTTCTATGCTCCTCTCATGTGAAATGCCATAGTAAACGAGAGGGGATAATTAACTTCCCCTGTGGGGTATAAGCCCACCCTTCCTTCTTATATGTCCCTTCCAGATCTGCAATAAGTTTCTGATCCTCCCTGGTATATTCTGGTTTACTTTCCAGGGAAATTTGCCTATCGGGAATAAGTGCTCCTTCCGTCTTTATCTCTATTTTGGCAGCCCGTTTTGCCTCCCTATCCGCCAGCTCGTTTCCTTTTTCCAATTCAGAGTTCACCTTTTGGTGTGCTTTAATATGCATAATCGCCACCTTCTCAGGAAGTTGAACAGCTTCTAATAGTTTAAAAATTTCCTCCGCATGTTTGATGTTTTTCCCTTGGGAGTTCAATAGTCCTCTTTCTTTCCAGATTGCTCCATGTGCATGTATAACTCCGAAAGCGTATTTGGAGTCCGTGTATATGTTTATGATCTTACCCTTGGCCAGTTCCAGAGCTCGGGTTAAAGCGATTATTTCTGCCTTTTGTGCAGAAGTATTTGCAGGCAGAGGTCCTGATTCTATTACCTTTTGACTGGTGGTAACGGCATACCCCACGTGTCGATTACCGTTCAGGACGTAACTGCTTCCGTCCGTGAACCAGCTCTCCTCATCCTTCATGGGGCTTTCCTTCAGGTCAGGGCGACTTGAGTATGTCGCCTCAGTTGTTTCCAAACAGTCATGGTGCACTTGTTCCCCCACGTTACCGCTGAGGAAAGAACCTGGGTTGACAATATTAGTGACTATTATCTGTACATCATCTTGTTCTACTAGTGCAGCTTGGTATCTCAGAAATCTTTGTGGGGAGAGCCAATGCCCTCCCTTTGCTTCCAGGACTGCCGATACTGTATGGGACACATAGGCAGTCATTTTCTGGCCCAGAGTGAACTTCCGAGCTTCCTGTATGTTCAATATCAGGGCAGACACTGCTCGCAGACACCCAGGCCACCCTTCTGCAGTCGCATCTAGTTGTTTAGAGCGGTAGGCGACAGCTCGTCGGTATGGACCTAGGTCTTGTGCCAGTATTCCCAGGGCAATGCCCTGCTTCTCATAAGAAAAGAGAAGAAACGGTTTACTCACATCTGGGAGTCCTAGAGCTGGGGCCGACATCAAAGCCTTCTTCAGTGAATCGAAGGCTCGCTCAGCCTCCTCATCCCATTCGAGGTGCGTCTGTTCGGTGTTCGTTAGCGCATACAGGGGCTTAACAAGCAGTCCATAGTTATAGATCCATAGCCTGCACCACCTTGTCATTCCCAAGAAGGTCCTTAATTCTTTTACTGTCTGATGTTTTGGGGTTTGACATATGGCCTCCTTACGGGACTGTCCCAAAGTTCTTTGCCCCGCAGTGATCTCATAGCCCAGGTAGTTTACTTTATGTTGTATCACCTGGGCTTCCTTCTTAGAGACCCGATACCCCCGTAGTCCCAAAAATTTAACAAGCTCACCGTCCACGTTGCACAGTCCTCTTCTGTCTCAGTAGCGATCAAAATGTCGTCCACGTACTGCAATAATTTTCCTTTTTCGGATGGGGCTTCCCAGGATTCCAAGTCCTTTGCAAGCTGGTTGCCAAAAAGAGTAGGGCTATTCTTGAACCCTTGTGGCAACACCGTCCAGGTGAGCTGGGTCTTTTGACCAGTTTTAGGATTTTCCCATTCAAATGCAAACAACTTTTGGCTGGCTTTATGGAGAGGAAGGCAAAAGAAGGCGTCCTTCAAATCTAAGACAGTAAACCAAATCAACTCTGGTGTTAATACAGTTAACAGGGTATATGGGTTTGCTACCACTGGGTAGAGATCTTCAACTATTCTATTCACAGCCCGTAAGTCCTGAACCACCCTATACGACCCATCAGGTTTCCGAACGGGCAGTATAGGGGTATTGAACTCAGACTCACACTCTTCTAGTAACCCTAATTGCAAAAATTTTTCTATTACTGGTCGGATTCCTTCCCTATCCTCCCTTTTTAAAGGATACTGTTTAATTCTCACCGGTCGTTGACCTTCCTTGATCCTAACCTCAATCAGTAGAGCGTTTTTTGCCCTTCCAGGTACATCGGTAGCCCAAACTCCCGGATATACTTGGTCTAAAATTTCCTCACGAAATTTTAGAAAAACTAGTTAGAGTTAGACTCAGCACTTGAATGTACTGCTGATCTTTTACCTCCAAGGTGACTTCCCCTTTTTCAAAGACAATTTTTGCTTCCAGTTGTTCCAGCAAGTCCCTCCCCAGGAGAGCTTTTAGGGAGTTATGCATATAAAGGAATTTATGAATTCCCCATTGCTTTCCCAATTTATACTCTAAAGGTTTACAAAAATACGCCTTTTCAGATTGGCCGGTCGCTCCCTTTACCATAACATAGTCGTCCCCCAGTGGTATTAAAGCTTGATTCAAAACCGAGTACGTTGCTCCTGTGTCTACCAAAAATTCTACTTCTTCTTGTTCTCTCCCCAGCTTAAGTTTAACCAGTGGATACGCCAGGGTAGATCCCCCAGGTCCCCGTCAGTCCTCTGTTACATTTGCTATTTTTACATTCATTGAAGCCTTCCCATTCTTCCTCCTATTCTTCGGACATTCCTTTCTCCAATGCCCCAAACCCTTACACAAAGCACACTGATCCCGCCTCAGCCGCGGTCGTTGCCTGGCCGGTCTCTGAACCAGAGTGGCCATCAACTTCATCTGTCCTTGTTGACATTCTTCTTCCCTGTTGCTAAACACTTTCCACGCCTCCTCTAACAATACCTCCAGATTCCTACTTTCCGTAGGGCGCAGCTTCTGAAGTTTTCGCCTTATGTCTCCTGTAGATTGGCCCATGAACAAGGAAACTAGTTGTTGTATTCCTACTTCTGATCCCGGATCCAATGGTGTATTACGGCGCATTACATCTCTCAGTCGATCCAAGAATTCGGATGGGGACTCGGAAGGACCCTGTTTCACTGCATATAAAGCTGACCAATTTATAGTTTTAGGGATCGCTCTTTCTATCCCCTTTGCAATCCATTCCCAATACGCCTGTAACCTTTCCATATGTGCCGATCTATTTGGTTCCCATTTCGGGTCCTGGAGGGGAAAATATTCCTTAACATCTCCCCCGGTAATCTTATAATGATCCTCCGCCAAGTGTCCTGCTGTTTTTAGAATCAATTCTTTCTCTGTTTCAGTCATATATTCTAATAGTAGCTGTACATCACTCCAATCCGGGTTATGCTGTTTTATAATGAATTGGAAGTGTTTAGCTACATCATGTGGATCGCGTCTATAGCTTTTCGCAATTCCCCTCCATGCTTCCAAATCAGCAGTGGTGAAGGGTACCCTAACCAACATTGTACCACCTTCCGGCCCCACGGCTTCCCGAAGGGGTGCCTGTAAAATACTTGTTGCGGTTTTTTTGTCTAGTGTGGGCGGATATCGGACTATTGGGAGAGTCCGCCGTTCCTTCCGAGTCGGCATCCTGATTCTGTGTTTGGGGGGGAGGTTTAAACAAATCATCATCTTGTTCTGAGGTTTGATGGACCTTATCTACCTTCGTACATCTCTGTCCAATGCTACATGATGAGCAACACCTCTTCAGCTTACCCCTACTTTCCTTACTTTCTCGTTCAAGTGCGAGCACCATAGGGTCCTGTGGGGGTACTAACCCACAGTCCCTTTGCCACTCTGGGTGATTTCACAAAGTGAAAAACATATCCGCGTATGATACCTCATCCCATTTTCCTTCTCTCCTTATAAACAACATAAGTTGTAACAGAGTGTTATAGTCCAGTGTTCCATTAAGCGGCCATTTAGCTCCATCCTCTAGCTTATACAGCGGCCACCACTGATTGCAATATTTTATAAGAGTCCTTTTGCTTTCCGTGCCTCCGCTCCCTGCAATATCCCGCCAATGGGTGAGTATACAGCCGAGAGGGCTCTTTTTTTAATACCCCTCCCTGAGTATTACCCATTTTGTTTTTGTAAAACACTCACTCCAAACGCTCACGCTTAACACGATTACCACACAGCATTCACTCACAATCTCACAATCTCACGGACGTCCACACACTTACAAGTCCACACACTTACAACACTTTCATCAGGAGTAAAAAAACCACAACAGAACAAAGGCCTTTTCAATCACTCTTGCCTGTGGCCGCCCTCTCGGCCAACAGGTCCCCGATTGGAGCCAGCGACCGCTCTATCGGTCTGTGGCAAGGTATAATTGCCCCCTAGACTCCCCTAACCCGCATGAATTCGCGCCTTTTCGGTGCACCTACCCAGGCCTTGGCTGCACGCCAGACGTCTCTGCACGATTTACCAGCTGCCCCAGCCACGCGTATGATTTACAGGCTCCTATCCTTAAACATACCGTTTAGTCCGCAGCTTCAGGAAGTCCTTGTCTGCCCCCCCACGGTGAGCGGCTGGTAGCGGAGGCTCCTCCGAGGAAAGTGCTCGGGGCGCGCCTGGGAGAGTCCGCCCCGCAGTCGATCCCATAGTCGAGCAGAGAGTCTCCTGGCTGGCTTGCCAAAACTGACGTGCGGAAAACAGACTCCACAATCTGATAGATTGTAAAGTAGGTATGTTTATTCAGCGCTGGGCACACAGGGGATAGCTCCTCCTATTGTGCGCGCCGATATGGCACCGTTATCTTACATTTATAGAGCAAATGATTACATATTCATAATATTTCGCAACACGCCTATACATATGCATTACCTGTCCCCGCTTCGTATTATAATTAGCATTTCCATAATCTCCTCCCAATTGAGTCTGCGCAGTGTCTTCTGGTGGTGGTCGTGGGGGTCTTTGGGGATGAAGTCAAGCTCCTCTTCCTCCTGTCCACTCTGTGACCCCAGGCTTCGCGCAGACTCAGTCTCTTACTGGCTGCTGTCCAAACCGTAGGTCTAGTCCCAACCGGCTTTGTACTGATAAAGCCTAACGACTCCATGCCTCAGCTCATCATGTTTTACAAACTATCTACTCATTAGGCAAAACTGTTATCTCAACTATTTCCCTTGTCATCCCCTTCTTGCTATTCCCATATTAACCCTTACATCCCCTGTTCCTATCTAGGCCCTGTATCAGGAACATGCTTTGAATTTTCTCAGCTTCAGATGTTATTCAGATATTCAAACATCACCCACTGAATATGTCTTGTATCAGATGCCAGCACAATATTATACAGAAAGTTGAATCTACATTAAACTCTTGGAATAGATTTTAACTTGGAAACTGTCCATGTAAACAAACAAAAAGCCTGAGGAGAATTACCCACTGTGCTACAGATCAGATATTATTCTAAAGAATCACAATGAAGACATGTTTAGATGGCAGATTCTACTGAAGGAACTGTGTTTACTTTGTGCTGACAGCTGATTTTACAAGTCTCCAATAGCTAACTGGGAGACACGAACACACAGACTCAGACTACCTCTCAGCACATTTGAAAACAGATAAGCATATCCAGAGACCATTGCTAAAGATGAAATCGGTCATATTTACCAGAAAGAGGAAACAGAAAAAAAGGCAGTAAAGAATAAGTTATATACACGATAAAGCACCACTTAATTATTCATACATGCTCTATGTTTTTACACTCCCAAACTGCCAGATTAACACACACTGTTCAGACAGTAAAATTAAAAATTTCCTCTACTTGCAGCATAACTACTACTTTTTTTTGCTGCTTCTCTCCAGCAGAAAAGTATCACATTATGAAATCAGGAAGAAGAACTATTAAATTAAATTTTTACTTTAGCAATCCTTTAATTCTCATAGGCTGTTACAAAATGATCACAGTTCCATCAGCTCTGTACAATTCCATCTCCTTTTCTTCCTAGTATACCTTACTATTTTAAGTCTATAAGTTAGGGTATGAATTATTTATCTCCTCAGCAATACATCAGTACCTACAAAATGTTATAAAATTTTTAGCTACTAGATTACCATACAATTAGAGTACTATAATAATTACAACTTGACATTTCTAGCTGAGTTTTGTGCTTTTTCCACTAGAAAGTGTTCCAGAACTGTAGATAATCGATTTTCTTTGAACTTGTATGTATATTATTTCAAGAGAAACAATGTTTTGATTTCTGAAATATCCTCACTGCTCCCTGAATTTAAAAAAAAAAAAAAAAAAAAAAAAAAAAAAGAAAATAGTGACAGCTATTCAGGTTTGAATTTTAAGACCTATCTGACTGTGACCAGATCACCTTAGATGTAAAGTAGTTCTCTTTCCCTTGAGAGCATAATCTGACAACACTAATGACTAAGGCAGTACTGTGAACTAGCAATGAAGTGTGGCACTTCTGCTAAACTGATTTGCAAAAAGAGGACAAAACAGGTCTCACATTTCACTATGGCAATATTTACATTTGCAGACTCTGATTTGGTGGCATTAAAATTCATGCTTGGATACCACACGAACTAAGAATAATTACACCTTTACTTTGCTGAACATAAGATTGCACTAGGCAATGAAGTTCATGAAGTATTTATCCTGTTACTGACAATCAAAGAGAAACATCTTAGACAAAGTCTAGTTTTATGCAAGTCTGGTATCAAAAGGGATTTCTCTATTCAACTTCCTCTTCCAGATTTATCTAGAAGGTGACACTGAAAAACACAGCTACTAAATAGAGATAAACCAAACCAACCTAGGAGAAAAGAAGAGATCTATCTGCACGCCTCTCGTATATTACAACTAAATGAGGATAGGATTTCACTTGGGCAAAAGGAGCATATTGGGGTAAATTAATTTTCCCCAGAGCAGCCCTCACAGTAGTGTGCTTTGTAGTGGTAGCCAGGACGGTGCTGATAACACACCGGTGTTTCGGCAACAGCTCAGCAGTGCTCCACAGCATCCAGGCTCTCTCTCCAAATTTCCCCCCTGACCATTAGGCTGGGGGTGGGCAAGATCATGGGAGGGGGACATAGCCAGGACAGCTGACCCAAACTGACCAAAGGGATATTCCACACCATTTGACATCTGCTCAGCGATAAAAGCTAAGAGAAAGGGTGTGGGGGCATGCAGGGGGGCATTATGACATTTGTCTTCTGGAGCAACCACTACATGTACTGAAGCCCTGCTTCCCGCGAAGTGTTTGGACATTGCCTGCTGATGGAAAGTAGAGGAATAATCTTTTGTTTTCCTTTGCTTCCACATGCAGCCTTTGCTGTTGCTTTTTTAAACTGCCTTTTGGCATTTTACACACACACACCCCCCACCCCTGATGAGGGGAGTGATAGAGCAGCTTAGTGGGCACCTAGCATCCAGTCAAGGTCAATCCATCACACACACTTTTTTATTAAATTTACACTCATCTTTGAGAGTAAAAGAGCCAGCAGTTTGGCTTTGTAAGATGGACGTAATATCTCTTTCTACTCTATGTTCCTGAGCACACTTTGCACTTATTTTTATGTGTCAGTATATTATAATCAGTGTTGTAGAAAAAGTCATTGTTCAATTTCACA